TGTATCTCTAGAGTGTATATATTTTAATTATTTTATCTATAGACTCACAAATCCCATTGAAATCATAGGTACATGGAAAGCACCATATCAAGTTTGACTATTCATGTTCATGTTCAATATTGTTTGTAAATTATATGATGCAATGGATGTATGGAACTGAAAATAATGCATCGAAGATCAAAGTAGTTGTGTTCATCAGAATTGGAAAGAACAATTCAAGATTATACATAAATGGAAAAAAACTGCAGGGACTAATCCTGGCAATTGCCAGGAGTAAAGGTGCTTGACTCGAAGGGACCAAAAAAAAAAAAAAAAAAAAGCAATTTTGGGGTACCTTTATTGAAGCTAGGGAAATGGATGGAGAAATGTGCAGTTGTGGGTTGTATGTAATCTGTTGCAAGGAATGCATTTGGAAGAAGCAAAAGAAAAAAGACTGTGTATAAGAGGGTGTTTCTGTCCATTTTGTTGTATACAACAACAGTTGAGTATATAAAAGTAAGTTGAATGCAGTGGGAACGGGATAATTAAGAAGCATGTGTGGTATAACAAGACATGATAGAGTCAAGAATGAATGGGTGCTAAATGAATGTGGACGGAATACACAAGTGAATGACCGTGATGAAAAAAATACATTTGAGTTAGTTTTTCCTATACTGTAGGGAGAATGAATGTAAGCTTCAAAGCAAATATATGAATGGGTTGAGAGGAATGAGAAGGCAAAGAAAGCCATGGTTGGGATGAGTTAATGAGATCTTCAAAAAGAAAGAGGAATTTAGAGAATAAAAGGCAATGCATGAAGTGGATGAATGTGGTGGAAACAAGAACTGTTTTTCAAAGATGGAAAAGTATTTGTGTATGTTTGTGTGTTTAATCCTCGTACACCGCGCAGAGTCACCTGGGTGAGATGGGCAGCCATATAAGACATATAACTAAAATAATTAATAAATAAAATAAAATTAGTGAATGCTGTTGGTATAAACTTTCCTTCTGCCTCCATTTCCTTTTCCTTTTCCTTTGTCTTTTTTTTTTTTTTGAGTTTTGGGTAGCATTGTTTACCCTGAAAAGGAACGGTGTGATGCTATTTATGTGACTGGAAATGGCTCTCTGGTGTTCCCAAGAAGAGGTCTTCTACCCCTATCAGGAGATGCCAAGGACTGAATTCAAGTCCTTTCATTTACATATGAAGCTGGCTTGACAATTATGGGTCCAATGGATTTCAAGGGCACCAAGTTATAGGAAGGTTGCTCTGACTACCATACAAATCTATCACCCATCCATCTTTGATACCTTGAACCCCAGAAAGATGTTCATGAAGAGTGTTCGAGCACCCAGGAAGATTCCCAATACTTTTTTTTTCAAAGATGGCAATTGTCAAGGCCCCACACAGAATGAAGATCCTCTAAAAGTACAGTTCATCTGAAATGATCATGTTAATCAATATTTTTCATTCAAGGCAGTAAAACACAGCATTTAAAAACTCAGTCAAGAGTTGCTTTGGACATATCCACCCACTTCTTGCCATTGATTTCAGTGGACAACAAAGGGAATGAAGTGGGCAGAAATATTACATTGATATAGGCTAGGGCAGTGTTTCTCAATGTTGGCAACTTTAAGATGTGTGGACTTTAACTCCCAGAATTCCCCAGCCAGCATGCTGGCTGGGG